TCCTCCATCACTGGAGCAAGCAAGCCTCCTGCTCGCTTCAGCTGCGTGGCTGCCGGCCGCCATCTTTGTTGGAGATTAATTTGCATATTGCCCTGATTAGCCAATGAGAAGCATAGCAAAGTATCCGTTAATTACCCTTTTTGTCTTTTATTAGATAGGACACACACACACACACACAGCCCTAGCCGATTTGGCTCAGTGGATAGAGTGTCAGCCTGCAAACCAAAGGGTCCTGGGTTTGATTCTGGTCAAGGGCCTAGACCTTGGTTGAAGCTCCTCCCCAGACCTGGGCTTAGTCAGGGCTCATGCAAGAGCCAACCAATCGATGCATTTCTCTAACAGTGATGTTTCTGTCTTTCCCTCTCTCTTCCACTCTCCCTAAAAATCAATGGAGGAAATATCCTTTGGTGAGGATTAAAAGATATATATATACTAGAGGCCCAATGCATGAAATTTGTGCAAGAGTAGGCCTTCTTTCCCCCGGCTGCTGGCACCGGCTTTCCTCGGCCTGGGCCTCCCACTTTGGGGCAATCAAGGGGCGATGCTGGGCCTCAACCAATCACATTGCATCCACCTTGGCTGGCCTGGCGCCAGTGGGTGTCATAGCGTGGTCCCGGATGGATGTCCGAATGGTCGTCCCGCTGCTACACCGTTCAATTTACATATTATGCTTTTATTATATAGGATTATGATTTTCTCTCTTTGAGTTTTTAAAATTATGTTTGATGGTTGAAAGCCAAAATGATAACTTTACCTGATTTGGTTCTCAGTGTATGTAGGACATCATTTAATTAAATACTACCACATAGCTGATGGGATGGTAAGAATCAAATATGACAATGCCAGTGCTAGGAAGGACATGGAACAACTGAAGCATTCACACATTGCTGGTGGGGATGTAGTAAATTAATACAGTCACTATGGAAACGTTTGGCATTTCTTATAAAGTTAAACACTAATTTAGCATAAGACTCCTCAGTGCTTATCCCAGAAAAACAAAATTTGGTACATAAATGTTGATAACATCTTTATTCATAACAATGAAATGCTGGAAACAACCCAAACATCCATCAACAGTGAACAGATTAACAAATGGTACACCCATACTGAAAAATACTACTCAGTAACAAAAAAGGAAAACTGTTTATACACCCAACAAAGTGGATGGATCTTAAGAGCAATTTGCTGAGTGGGGGGAAAACAGCCCAGCTCAAAGATTACATACATTCCATTTTAAGAAATGATAAAATTAGAGCTATGGAGTACTGATCAGTGGTGCCCATAGGTCAGGGTTGGGGGACAGTGTGTGTATAAAGCGGTAGCAGGTGGATGTATCTTTGTGTTGGTACAACAATTCTACATCCTGATTGTGGCAGGATTTACAGATATCTATACATGTGATAAAATTTCTTAGACCTCAACACCAAAAAACAAAACAAAACAAAAAAAACCTCACACAAATGGAAGCATAACAAAACTAGTGAAATCCAAATAAGGTCTATAGTCTACTTAACAGTATTTTATTGGTTTTGATTTCATTTTACTGGTTTTGATGATATATCAGGTTCTATTACTGAAGAGGCCGAGTAAAGGTCCCTAGGAACTTTGTATGATTTGTAATTCCTTGTGAGTCTAAAATCATTCCAAAACATATTTCAGAAAGATCATATTTAAGATGTTTTCAAAACTTATAAACTTAGATAAATACATCCAATGATGTGGAATTATGAGTATATTTCTTTTACTTCTGAAGTACACAGTACATTGAAAGGGATGAATTTAGAGCCCAGGAAATGTAAGAGCTAATCATATAATGATACGAAGTGGACACAGAACACTCCTGCTTGTATATAACATTAACATTTAATCAGTGTTGAGAATTGCCTACTTTAAATTTATGGAACCATTGAGTATATGGTTCAAGGTATCCTGTCCCAGAATGGACATCAGTTATATAATAAGTTTAGACTTGGCTTAGAAAACTCAAGTAGATACCATTTTTACAAAGCTTTCTTCATGAATTCTGTGATATTTTGCTGGAGTCACTCTACATTAAGTGTGTTTCCAGCAGTTTTATTGCTGTATGAACTCATGAGAAATGATTAATTCTGCCATATTCTTTGCCATCTAAAATTATTCTCCAGCATGAATATCAGGCAACTTATTCAGGTTTATTTCTAAACAAAGGCTTTCCCATGACCATCATGTTGCTACTGTGTACAAGCTCACTGATGATCTACTGTGATCACTAATGAGATAGTCTTTATTCCCACAGCAGGCTTTCCTAGTGTTTCTATGCATGTGATTTCTATTAGCATATACTTTTCAGACATATCATTACCTGCAGTGAGTGTGGGAAATGTTATTTCATGTGAGAAATGTTTCCTCAAGACTTTCTGCATTTTTCTTCTGTATTAATTTTGACATACAGTGTAAGGTAATTTATCACCTAAGGCACGAGCACATTCTTTGCATTCATTAAATTTCACTCCTATGCAAATTCCATAATTTCCCATGAGTGAAAGGCTAGCAACAGGTTAATAAAGTACACTGACTATATTCAAGTATGCTAGGAGCACACTGCACTGAACTCACGGTTTGACTTTGTCCCTTGCACGAGTTCACTTGTAAGTAATGAATTCAGACTCTGCAAAGGATTATGTACCTTGACTACACATTTTGTGTATTAATAAGGCTTGACAAATGAAAGGTTACCCCAATCATTGAATACACAGTCTGTCTTTTATTTTCTAAGTTCTTTCATATACCGTGAGTGCTGAATTCATATTGAAGGCTTTCTCAGACTAATTGCATACATACACTTTGTCTACTGTGTCACTTACCTGGTGGGTCATGAGATCAGTACATATAAGTCTATCTTGTGTGAAGTCTCTGACATTGTACAAGGCATATTATTTTTCCTGAAGGTGTGACCATATTCATTGCATTGTTAGGGTTTGTTCCCATTATGAGTTCTATGATGTACAAGGAGATTTCTCTTTGAAGAGAAGCCCTTCCCACATTCACTGCACACAAAAGGTTTCTCTCCGGTGTGAGTTCGTTGATGGACGATTAGACGACTTTTCACAGCAAAGACTTTCCCGCATGCATTGCACGCATAAGGTTTCTCTCCAGTATGGATTTGCTGATGTAAAATGAGCTCAGTTTCCATGGCAAAGCCTTTTCCACACTCACCACACATATAGGACTTCTCTTCTGTATGAATTTGCTGATGTACGAGGAGATAGCGTTTCATGGTGAAGCCTTTTCCACATTCACTGCACAAAAAGGGTTTCTCCCCGGTATGAGTCCACTGATGTACCGTAAGGTTGCTCTTAAAGGCAAAACTTTTTCCACATTTATTGCATATATAGGGTTTCTCTCCAGTATGAGTTCGCTGGTGTAACATCAGCCCACTATTCACGATGAATCCTTTCCCACATTCACTGCATCTGTATGGTTTCTCTCCAGTATGTGTTCGCTGATGTACAACCAACCGACTCTTCAAGGGGAAGCCTTTTCCACACTCACTGCAGGTGTAGGGTTTCTCTCCAGTGTGAGTTCGCTGATGTTCAATCAGACGGATCTTCGTGGTGAATGATTTACCACACTCATTGCATACGTATGGCTTCTCTCCTGTATGATTTCGTTGGTGTATGAGGACATAATGCTTCGTGGTGAAAGCTTTCCCACACTCACTGCAGGTGTAGGGTTTCTCTCCAGTATGCGTTCGCTGATGTATGATAAGCATGCTCTTCACCGTGAAACCTTTTCCACATTCGTCACATACATAGGATTTCTCTGCCGTATGATTTCTCTGATGCACAATGAGGTTACTCTTCCTGGTAAAGCCTTTTCCACATTCACTGCACACATAGGGTTTCTCTCCAGTGTGAGTTCGCTGGTGTTCAATCAGACGGTTCTTCGTGGTGAATCCTTTCCCACACTCATTGCATACGTATGGCTTCTCTCCTGTATGATTTCGTTGGTGTATGAGGACATAATGCTTCATGGTGAAAGCTTTCCCACAGTCACTGCAGGTGTAGGGTTTCTCTACAGTATGAGTTCGCTGATGTACGATGAGCCTCCTTTTCACAGTGAAGCCTTTCCCACATTCACCACAGACGTAGCATTTCTCTCCAGTATGATTTTGTTGATGTACATTGAGATTACGCTTTCCTGGGAAGCCTTTTCCACATTCACTGCACACATAGGGTTTCTCTCCAGTGTGAGTTCGCTGGTGTTCAATCAGACGGCTCTTCATGGTGAAGACTTTGCCACAGTCACTGCATATAAAGGATTTCTCTCTTTCATGAATTTTCTGATGATCATTGAGCCTGGACTTTCTGGAGAAGACTTTTGCACACAAACTACAACTGTAAGGTTTCTCTCCTGTGTGAATTCTCTCGTGATCAGTGAGCTGAGACTTCTTAGCAAAGCTTTTTCCACATTCACTGCACACGTGGGCTTTCTCTACCTCCTGAGTTCCCCGATGCTTAATGACCTGGGACTTACTGCTAATGGGTTTTGCACTGACAGGGAATTTAACTGCAAGATGAAAATCATGTTTGCCATGCCAAAATGATTTTCCATCTCCATTCAACTTAGCAGAGTTCTTAGTTTCATAGCTTTTACTCTGTTTGACTAAACTTAAATTTGATTTCAGAGTTTTCATGTAGAAGTCAAACACACCATGATTTTGCCTGAAAGGAAAATGCCTTTTGCTTTGAGGAACAATATTTCCAAATGTATCTTGTTTGTGCATTTGTTCCATACCTTCCAACATTCTTTGATTTTCCCAGTGATCCTGGAGATAATTATCAACTTTTCCAGTGTCTAGGAAAGAAAACAATGAATCTTTTTTTTATAATCTTGTTTGGAATTAAACTTTTAATTAATTAATTATTTTTTTTAATGGCACTTTAGTGACAACCCTGTGGTGACACTATGAAAAAATACACCATGTGTAAGTGTTCCTTATTTCTTACACATTGGTAAAAACACCATAATATAAACAAACCAAAAGGAATCTCTCCTGTACCACTAAGGTTACCACTAAGGTTACCACTAAGGTAGTTGGCAATTAATGTAGATTTAGCTGCTTTTGGACCTTTCAAAACATGTAGAGAAAGTAAAATCCAAGCAAGTCATTTTTAAGCAGCAAAGGACAAGGTTTGGAGGAATACCTTTCCACAGAACTTAGAAAGACCCAGATCCCAGAGGTGGAAAACTAATCCAGATGATGAGGGTTGCATTTGTTCAGACCAAAATTACTTATTGAATGGCTCCCTGTACCAGGTATTGTGCTGGTGGTTTGGAATATATATACAATAGGTCTTACTTTTACTTATCTTAAATCTAGTTAAAATCTAGGGAAAATTGAAAAGAAAAAAAAAGTAAGGAGTTGGAGATTATTAAACATGGACTAAAGGAGCAATGGAGATGGTGGAAAGTGGAGGAAATCAGGATATATTTGCATAAAGAAATGGCAAAGTTGCCCTAGCTGGTTTGGTTCAGTGACTAGAGCACTGGCCTGCAGATTAAAGGGTCCGGGGTTCAATTCTGGTCAAGAGCACATGCCCGGGTTGTGGGCTTGATCCCCAGTGGGGGACGTGCAGGAGGAAGCCGATCAATGGTTCTCTCTCATCATTAATGTTTCTCTCCCTCTCTCTCCTTCTCCCTTCCTCTCTGAAATCAATAAAAATATATTTTTTAAAAATGTGGAGATAATCAACATATACTGATATTCAAGACGAGAGAACTGGCTCATATTTGGGAGGACATGTAGTATGAAAGATGATAAATGTACAAATCAAGGTTTTAGACATTTCAACATTTAGGATTTTGGGATTCTTTAAAGTCACTTTAGAGGCACTGAATTCTGACTATGGAGTCAGAGAAAATACATATGGGGGTGTAAAGAATAAACATATTACCTAGCAAGTAAGACTATAAGGTCTTCAGAATTTGGATTAAAGTGAATTGAGACAGACTCTCACATCATAATCCTGTTCCTAAATTTTCCCTTCTCTATACCACCAAGCAAGTAACACCACCAAGAAACATTGCATGGAACTCATATAATCACCACTCCAGCCTTTTAGCTGAGCTGTGTCATATTATCATATGTTCTACTGATAACAAAATAGGACAACAATGATTGATAGGAAATTTTGCAGCTGGCCAGTGTACCTCACAGTCATCTTCAGAAGCTCAAGTGCTACATGGAATATGGCAACTGTCACCTTTTTGCAATCACATTCAGCATTCAGTACAAAAGTCATACTCAACATTTTCCCATTTTAGTGTCCCTGATATATTTGTCCCCTCACTTGCCACCAACATCTACTTCAGTAATTCTATATTTATGTCTCGTTGGCAACAGTTAGGTTGTACTAAAGGACTAACTTCCTCCTTGAAGATCTAGGTTGTGTTAGTTTTATCTTCAATATTTCTTAGAACGTCTACTTGTTCCTTATTATTGCTATACTACTAAAATCAGGTAAAAGGAAAGACAATGTAGAGTTACAAAAATACAAAACCGACCAACTCTCCACCATGCTACTTCAACTCATATGAAATCCAGTCAGTCATCCTGGCTGCCTCCTGCAAGCCCCCAATCACTGGGGACCAAGCCCACAACCCGGGCATGTGCCCTTGACCCGAATCGAACCTAGGACCTTTCAGTTTGCAGGCTGACGCTTTATCCACTGAGCCAAACCGGCTAGGGCCATCCTAGCAAAAACAGTGTACATCAACATGAATACTCCATTTATCCAGGTTTCCACTCCACTCTTTTCCCTGCAGAGAGCTTCTAACAGTGGCTGTCATTTGCCTGACTTTAGGCCACTCTTTTGATAGTCAACCCCATGGCCTAGCATGTTTCCTCATGTGTTTCATGCCTTCATAACTAATTCATAGCATCATCTTCCTAATTAAAAATGTAGACATACCTTGTATATAGGGTGAACTTGGGGGGTACCTGACCCCTGCTGATGTGAGTTCTCCATGGTGATAGCAGCCAGTCCTTGTAGGAAATTGGCCTGGGAGTAAATCTCTCCCCTTGATGTGCCAACAACAATCAAGGCTCAACTATAACAGGAGAGTTCACACAGCTCACCTAGGGGACAAACTTGAAGTGACCAGCTCACGTGACTGGGGAGGCTGCACCACTGGGTCCTACAGGACACCTACTACATAAGGCCACTCTACCAAGACAGGAGGTGCAGCAGTTCTACCGAATACACAGAAACAAATATAGGGAGGCCGCCAATATGAGGAGACCAAGAAACAGGTCCTAAATGAAAGAACAATAAACTTCTAGAAAAAGGAACAAAATGGAGACAGGCAATCTACCAGCTGCAGAGTTCAAAACACTGGTTATGAGGATGCTCAATAAACTTACAGGAAGAGTAGAGGAACTTACTGAAAACTTCAGCAAAGAGATAGGAAATATAAAAATGGAGGTAGAAAACACACACACACACACACACACACACACACACACACACACACACAAGAACCAGTGAGAAATGAAGTGGGAATTTCATAGCCAGGGAGATGGAACAGAGAGAGACACTGTGACAAGGTACAAAGAAGGGGTAGTTCATAGAGTTCAAGGAAGGAGAAATCTAGCAAACAAAAATCAAGATGTTCGGTAAAATAAGCGAGGATCAGTTCTCAGAGAAAAGAGGGGAAAAAGGTTTATGACCCTTTATATATTAAAATATATTTTATTGATTTTTTTACAGAGGGGAAGGGAGAGGGATAAAGAGTTATAAACATTGATGAGAGAGAAACAACATCGATCAGCTGCCTCCTGCACACCCTCTACTGAGGATGTGCCCGCAATCAAGGAATCAAACCTGGGACCCTTCAGTTGGCAGGCCGAAGCTTTATCCACTGAGCCAAACCAGTAAGGGCAGTTTATGTCCCTTTAAAGACCTAAAGAAAAGTTCTGCTATGGAGAGGGATATGGGGGCACTGTTTCTATATCCTCAAACACCCCTCCCACGGCCCAGACTTCTCTGACTAGAATATGACTTCTGCAGTAACCCATGAGGGGAAGCAGATTTTGCCATCTAAATATTGCTTATTTTAAGCTGGCTATTTTCAAGAAAAGAAAGACACAAGAAAAAGCTTTGACATTGGCCCTCACTGCCTGTAAGAATTTAGATAGAGGGCTTGCTCTAGGAAGGGCGATACCATCATAGATAACTACAGTTTAATATGAGCTAGGTGTGATAGACAGGGAGGAACCTAGTTAGGCCACCCCCGCCCCCCGCTTTTTAAATTGTCTAAAGTCTTACATACCGTATTTGCCGGCGTATAAGACGACTGGGCGTATAAGACGACCCCCTAACATTTCCACTCAAAATACAGAGTTTGCTATATACTCGCCATATAAGACTACCCCCTCTTCCGCACACCTTCCACACACTAAATAAAAGGTAAAACAATATCAGATTTGATTTTAACATTTTAATTTATATTCAAATGCTTATGACATGCAGGAAAACTGTCACAAGGCTGTATGTAATCAAACATATACATAAAACAGTGCAAGTTTATTACCGGTAAACATACCGGTAATTCACTAAAGAAAACACACTCTATAGACTGGTACCGTAGATGCTTCTCAGGAACACAGGCAAGCAGCCCACAACCTAGAGGGACTGTCAATGATAGAAGTAAGATAACAAATAGAGGGAGAGAGCAAGTGCCGGGCAAGTCCCTAGCAAGTTTGCTGGCGTGACAGTTTCACCTTAAAAGCCTTCAAACTCCTCTTCATAATCTGATATTAAAAGTTCATCAACGACATCTTGGTGCCATGATAGGGATG